ACTGTACTTAATTTGTATGCTACTCGGTATGTTTTAAGTTTTAAATTAACTATGAACAGTGAATATTCCCGAGATGGATTTTTATTATGCGAGTACCGGTTGTTAAGAACTGCAGTTTTGAAACGTAACCTTCACGTAATTATTTTCGAAACGTAATATGCTTCCTCCAGCCTTCTACCAGTATAAAACATTTTCAGAACACCGAATGCATTTTCGCGCAACGACGCCATGCTGATGCGCCGCTGAATTAAAAAACAGTTTCGAGACCGTATCTCTTGTACTCTCGCAAACCATTCGGCAAGGTGATCTTTTCAAACGCTTAAAAGTGTACCGTACTCTAAAAATATTTATCCACATTCAGTAATCGTACCGTTAACCGCACAGATCATAGACATTCATAGTTATGCAGTTTTAAATATTATTACAGGGTACATGACTACTTACTGCTAATACAAAATAAATATATAGACTTATTGCAATGTGAGCGGCGTTCCTTTTCCAGTGCATTCTTTTGTGATCACTAAAGTGCTCGCATAAAGGGCACCAAATACGGAAAACCGACTTTCAGCGTTGTATAGCGCTCCGGAAGAAATGACTGTTTGATAAACTGCGAATTAGTTGAGTAGGGTAACGCGAAACTTACCAGACAATTACTAGTATCAAGAAAGCGTTTAACTGGACACATCCAGCAACAAACACGAAGTACCACAACGTAACCATAGAAGCAGCAGGACACGGAGCGCCGGCGGCTGGTGGAGGAGACGAAGAGCAAGGAGGAGTAGCGCGGGCTGCCGCCGACGACGCCCAGTCGTGCCGGCGGGGATCGCTTGCTGGAATTATTACTATTCATTTTTTTGTTAATGTACGTATATTATTTGATTAATATGCATGGCTGGTACAGCAAAAAATAAAATGAAATACGAAATCATGTACGAAATCACGAAATCAGTATCATGTGCAGAATATGAAAATAATAAAACTAGAATCTTGTGCAGAATATGAAAATAATGAATCAATCAGAATCCTAGTAAACAGTCAATAAAAACCGCGAGTTATCAACCAATCAGATGATACCAACCATCCAATAGTAATTAATCTTATGGAAGCGCGTAGTAAGCGTCTGTCCTATCTCGCGCGTCTGACGTGGATTACCGCCTATTAACCCATAAGATCGTAGAAGACTGGAAAACAGCTGAACAGCCGCGTGTTCTGCCGCTTGAACGCGCATTTTACGCAGATTATTTACCATAGGGTTGGTACGACTTCGAATAAGTAGGTGAGCCTCCTTACTGCCTCGCTTCCGTGTCAGTTGTGCCAGAAGTCAGCCGTATACATCATTGATCAGGAAATGGAGCAAGTTTTGGATGCACGAGCGAACGGCCCAAAAAGCTGCAAGGACGTTCTGACAGAACTTTCTCGAGCACAAACAGGTCAAGCAAGTGACGCCCAGAAAAGCATCAGCAGCGTTTAGAAAAGGCCTAGGTTTATTATTCCGGCGTCTGCTCTTATCAGGAAGCGTTGGACAAGACGGGCTTCGAACATATCTGGACAGAACGTTGGACGCGGTTTGTCACAAGCATCCGGAAGAAGCTACATAACATTCGCTCCCCTCGTGGAGCGAGGGTTGCTTGTTTCTAGCAGGAATACGAAGAGCTACACAAAAGACCGTCAGAATACGGAAAGAATGGGGTACCTTATCAAGAGACGTGGTAGCGAGTAATGAACAAAAACCCATATGAACGAAAACACGAAGCGTCCGCTCATCTTGTGAAACCTCGTTTTTTTGTACTCCGTTTACAAAAATTGCTGGTTTTTAAACGGAGTACAAAAAGCTGTACCAGACTCCGTCAGAATACGTACGAAGAGAGGTTCCTTCCTAGGAGACACGAGAGCGGTTTCTGAACAAGATCCCATACAAACAGAAACTGCTTGTAGCATCCGGTCATCTCGAGAAATGATGCCGGCATTCTGGCAGTTCACCCAAGTTGCAGATCGGTGCTCGTCGACTGGGAAAGAACGATCGCAGTGACTACCGAAGCCGAACCGTAGAGTAGCTTATACATAGATCTTTTTGCGTACGCGTTTTCGTTGATATTGATCGGCAAAGGTCGAAGGTGCCAGTTTACAAAATGCCGCTGATGAGGTTAAATTCTGTATAAATTATACTGTATTACGCCCGAACGATGACTGAGGCGGGCCGCGCGCCGCATCAGGTGGCACCGTGGCTCACTTTGGATTCGTTCACGAATCCAAACTGAAAATCCGGGATCTGTAAAACAGACTCGTGTAAAGTCGCAAATATATTGAAATAAATATAAAACCGTTCATGTAAGCAAAAAGGAATATAAAATAACTGAGAGCGCTAGCGTTCTCCTGATCGCTTCAGTTGTCACAAAAAAAGGAATTACGTGTAATTTAATACAATTGATAGGAGCATGAACCACGTATGACTCCGCATACTGCCAAACTGGTTTTGTTTTAATTTCCCATAAATAATAAAAGATTGCTGTAATATTTTAAAAAATCTGAAGATTAAGAAATACGAAGATTGCAACTTGAAAGCCTCTGTGTTGCAATAATGCAAGCTGCGGTATGAAGAAGCAGTACGAACAAACACCGGAAGTGATTTTTTTAATGCCACCTACAATGCAACCTACGTTGAGCGGTTTTGGCTGTATGCGATTTTGTGCGAGGACGGCATTGGTCAACCAATGTTTCTTGGTTTGTTATCAGGAAAATCATTCAAATATCCCCAAAATATATTATTTCCTAAAACATTTCGATAAAAAAATAAAAAATTGTGGCGTGCGAAGACAACAGAGGTGTGTGTCGGGGTTACGAGGTAGTAAAAAGATGGTACTATGAGCGAACGGTGGTATGAAGGTGATATGCGGGGCCTTCACCTTGTTATATTCGTATTAAGTTAGTATTAATTAAGTGTATCAATTTGGCTCCGACAGTGTTCGTACGAGGACCCCTGTCGCCCTGTAGAATGTGCTCTCACCTCAGGTGTTTTCCATAGTGTCACTCTATACTGGAAATTCGGAACTGTACAACAACTAGAAAATTATTTCTCGATTTGCCGAGTTGTCCTGCATACCTTGTAATTTGTCGGCAAATAATCAGATCAGCGTGAGAGAAGTGCACAAAAAAGGTGACAAAAACACTAAAATGCACAAATATCCGAGTATCGCATATCCCAATCACCAAAAACAAAAGGTCATCTGTTAACATTAACTCTGCGAAGATAGCCATTAGTTAGCCAATCAGTAAAAGTTACACTAGCGGCAGATGAAATGTAAATAAAATAAAAAAAATCACTGTACGGTACGGTAGTCACAAAATGGAACTATGTTAATAAGCGCAACAGCCAACAGCCTTTAAATCATAAACGTGAACGAAAATATCACTTTGAATGGGTGTAATCATTTGCTCGTTGTCAGTTACTACTGATCTGGATGTGTTGAGAATCTCTGGACGTGCCGCTTACGCAGCGACACGGTTGCCTAGAGACCAGGCCACCAGGGCTCCAGTGAAGTGACGTGACGTAGCATGATTACGTCAACGTGCAATACGTAGAGCAGCCACGGCCGATGTCGCTTACAATGACGTGAGGCACCACTGCATCATTGTATGTTGTATTTTCGGAAATACCGACATCTCACTTGGAAGTTGCTGTAAAGTCTAAAACCAGAACAAGTCAACGTTTTCAAAACTACTAAACCTTGACGAATTGTTGCTTATTAACTGCCATCAGTGGGCGCTGTTAATTCAGGAATTCGTTTTATTAGCCGGCTGTTGTAAGAAACCAGGAAGAGATCGTTAATCCGTTGGACGAATTGTCCAGGTGTTTAATATTTTGTTTATGATATGGCTGTTGTCGCTCTGGTTCTTTTTCCTGCCACTTGGATTATGTTCGGCAACGTAGTGTCATGGCTTATAGTTTATTCGGCAAAGCCAGTTTCTTTAAATTTAATTTTATGTGAGCCGCACGCAGCGGCTGCATTTACCTCTCTCCACTCATGACGAGATGCTCTCCAAACTCGCACAGAATCAGCGGGTCCTCATGCAGCAGCGCCGTTGGCCGGCACGGTCAAATTGTTAGCGGCAACGGGATGAAAAATTTGTCAACGGAAAATAATCAGGTCGGTTAGAATGCGGTATAATTGCACAGAAGTTTGCTTGGGTAAAGGAACGTTGATTGTTTTTGCGGCCAGATCATTAGGTGATCGTAGTGTGATGGCTCTGTAACGTTTTTGAAAGATCAGTCAGAGACTTTGGATCATGTATCTGTATGTATGCATGTATGGATGTCGATTTCATAATTCTGGATACGTTTTTCATTTTATCGTTGCGTGGTATATGCGCCACACACGGAAGAAACGAACAATTATACACAAAGTTTAAGTGCCATTGTGCTGAACGCAATCGAATTCTGCTTTGTACTTTTTAGGTGTAAAGTGGTTTAACTTTCTTTAAATAATAAATCTTTGACTATAATTTATACTATAATTAATATTATTCGTTCCTGCTTAGCTGCTGGCTAGCTATTGTTTGAACTCGCTTTCATCCAAAGACTGTAAGGCTTTTGTTAGGATGTGCAGTTTAATTGTTCAGCGTTGGCTTTTATCTTTTAGCGGCTTGCATCTGGGAACTCCGGCAACCGCGATGGAGATTTGCACTGTCCGTCAGAACAACTACCAATCCCGATCATAGTAAACGATTCGTACTGTTCTCGCATAAAGTTACATATTCGCGTTATTCTGAACGATTTACCGACGAATACCGTCTTTTAGGATTCCACGGCGGAGTATGCCGGAACACCGCACAAGACAAGTGTCCCCCACCGGCGCCCGGAAATCGCGTGGATCGGTATCTGGGAGTGGCTGATCGTGAACTGGCACGATCAGCCACTCCCGCGGCAAAGTGACCGGCACCGATGCCAACCGGCCCAACGATGCCGTAGACAGCTTCCCCGTCTGCGCTGCATCGACTGCGTTCCGGTTTCAGGTGCGCATAGAGAGAAAGCTAATTAATAATTATTAATTGATAACTGCAGTTTTTTTCCGGCTGCAATTCACGTACCCAGAATGGCGTGTAAAATTACCTTTAGTTGCCCGTTAGTATCGGTCTTGCATTCTGTCTTAAATTCTTACATTTATTGTCAGTTTTCCGTACATTCATAATTCATTGCTAGCTGAATTTGTATTCATATCAGGTGGGAAAAAACTAGACATAACATTGTTTTTTAAATTATTTTCCTTCTGCAAGTACTGTGTTACGTTTGGTTATTTTACGTCATCTGATTCCAGAACAGCAATACGCCAACACCAAGCCACTCAACTACGATAGTGTCGCTAGTGTTGCTGCTCGAAACATTATGCCCGCATCTCCGGCATCCACCGAAGCCGGGGCACGACTGGCCATGAACAGCGGGACTGTGGGCCGGTTGCCCGAATAAGATTCACGAGTTTTTAATTCCGGAAAATAAACTCGTTGTAGCTGAAATAATTATGTAAGTATTGAAACTTGATATCGGAAGTCTGTTAGGCGCGAATATGAGTTTGCACTTTGCAGTACATAACAAAGTGACGGTTTATCCTTATTGTAAATGATTTAGTGTGGAAAATTTCGATAACACCATATAACAGAATTTCTTACAAAAGCTGACAATTTCCGGTGGCATTTGTCGTTAAAAGAAACGTTAAGAACTTACCCGGTTATCTGAAACTGCCTGGTTTTGAATTTTGGTTAATAAGACGGCGATGTGCTCGATATTGCAGAGCAGCTTTGAGGCGCATTCGCGGGTGGACAGCGCCATCCGCCAGGTGGTGGTGGTGGTGCAGGGCGTGTTGATCTCACTACGACTGGACAACATCCTGGAGGTATTGCGTAGTGCGCGCTTCTTCCACGCCCGCACTATGCAGCACCTCCAGGATCTGGCCGTCGAGCCGCTCTGCGCGCTGAACACCGGCACGAAGTAAGTTTTATTTTTGCAGTTTCTGATGTAGTTGAATTGGAGGATTGTTAATGTTTATACGTAAGCAGTGTACACTGTGCAGTACATTATGAAATTGCTTTATTGTGCGCCAGACAAGGACCGTTTGAGCATCGGGCTGGTGCGCATTACGGCTACGTCGGCCGTCCGTGGCTCAGCAGCACCGGCCGGCGTCGTCCTCTGCATTCCCTTTACTTTCACGCCAGGTTAGCGTGTAGTACAACCATCCAGCGCACCACGACGAAAAAACACGCCCGAGAGGCGAGAAATCATGATGATGATGATGATTTATGATTTATGATGGCTTAATTTTATCACTATTATTTATTACTAATATTACTGTAGACGCCAGCAACCCGGACAAGGAGGCGGTGACCTCGGCGGACGTGTCGACATATCTGTCCGGGTGCGACGATATTCCGGCGCATATGTCCTATCCGAGGAGGTCATGTTCTTCGACTCCATCCAGGATCCAAGGTGCGCTGACCTGTAGTACTGATTAATACATAATATTTGTTATTATCGTTAAATTGATTGATAAATGCAGGCATGTACACACCCGGCGCGGCCGCGCATCAAGCCAGCAACGACCCGAAGGAGTCTGCTGGTGGTTGCGGGGGTGAAGACTACGCGTGCTATGGTAAACCAACTGCTAGCAATTAGTAAATTGGACATACCAATAGCTAAAAATATGTGATAAATTAGCTGCAATAGTGCGACACAGAAGTGTGCTGCTGATGTGTTGAAAGGTCATAGCGGAATGCGGAGTGGAGGATGCACCGGGCGACAACGCCTTCGCGTCTGTTCATGGCGCCGGCGCCGACCGCGCCCGCACAACCTCCGATTATGAAGCGAGGCGGCGGCACCTACCAGGGCAGCTGCAATGCAACGGACAGTGTGATGGTCTCTATAGTCGGTGACTCGGATTACACAAGGCTATTTTTGTCAACTGATTACACTGAACTTTCGTTTGTACGTCTTCCAGTACGGTGTTGCCAATGCTTTCTTGCTCATAGTGCTTTTACAGTTTTTACTTACATACTTTTACTTGATTTTGTTTGATTTTGCTGGGTTTTTTTTTATGTTTTAGTAGGGTTAGTTTTCTGTGAATTTGCGAATTTGTTAGTGGTATTCGCGCGTGTTTTTATTACGGAATGTCAGTTGTAATTATGGGAAAGTAAAATAATATGTTACTAGTACTGTAAATGTATGTTACTGTATGTAGACTGTGCACAGGAAGAAGGGTATCGCACGGCGTTCGTGTGCTAACCACGAAATAAGTGAAAAATTTGCATCCCACTCTAGTTGTTATTACTCGACTACAGTACAACTACAGACTACTCGAGTGGACTTATTACATACGTTTCGCCAACATTTTAATCTACTTTTTTCGCGATCAGTTTTAGCATAACATTAGCAAAGTACGCATCGATTTTGACAATACACGGACCACTGATTATTTTTTTGTATTTTGCTATGTCCGGTAAAAAAGTGAAGCGGCATAAATAAAATAATTATTAAAATAAACAAAAAGTAACAAAAAGCTTCAGTAACAAAAACTAAGTACATGCGGTAACAAACACCACGCAGGTTGCCAAGTTTCTGGCAAAGTAAGAAGTTAACGAAATACACTACGTAGTACCCGTGCCGGTTTCCCAATCGATTCCGAATTAGCTGTGTAAAGTGCTTTACAAATATTTATTGCACATTCTGTAACCGCAGCTGCAGTACAACAATTCCAGTAATTCGCAGACGCTTATGGTTAGGTTAACTGCAGACTTACTTGTATCGAAATGTGAGCGGCGTTCCGTCTTCGGTGCAATCCTTTTGCGGTCACTCAACTGCTCGCAAAAAGGGCACCAACTACGGAAAACCACTACGTGGTAGAGTTACGACGAATACTTCTGTACAGTTATGGCATTAATTACCGGCTATTACCTATCTGTATACAGTTTCCCGCAAGAATGATGTCGTGGGAATGAGTGAGCGCTGCTATGTAATAACCTTTCTGTTCTTTTTGTTAAGCGAAAGCAATAGGGCCATTTTGGTATCCTGCCATTTCGGCCGCATGACAATTCGGCCGCCTGTCATTTCGGCCCCCTGATATTTTTTGTTTTTTCTTAGCTTTCCAAGGTTTTCTTAACTTTTCTTAGGTTTTCTTACACCCGAACAGAAGGTTTTTTGGTTTTCTTAGGTTTCTTAAATTTTCTCAGGTTTTTGGTTTTCTTAGGTCTTCTTAGATTTTTTTGGTTTTCTTAGCTTTTCAAAGGTTTCTGAGGTTTTCTTAGCTTTTCTTAGGTTTCTTAGGTTTTCTTACGCCCGAACTGAAGGTTTTTTTTGGTTTTTTTAGCATTTCTAAGGTTTCTTAGGTTTTCTTACGCCCGAACTGAACGGGCGGCCGAATTATCATGCGGCCGAAATGTCGGGCGGCCGAAATGTCGGGCGGCCGAAGTGTCAGCTGCTGTTTTTAGGCGGAGTACAAAAAGCTACACGAGAGACCGTTAGAGTACGGAAAGAACGAGGTTCCTTCCCGGGAGATGGTAAAATGGTTTGCCAACAAGAGCCAGAGATGAGCAAGACCATGTTTCGGATGTTGAAGCAAACTGTGCAAACGCTGCGAATTTTTGAATATCAAACCGAAATCTAGGGATGCCGACACCGGCTTCGCCAATCGCGTTACCGAACTGGTGCATTCTAAGTATGCGGACGTCATGGAGCGGTACGGTGTTTCAGAGGCGTACCGCCGGTATGCCGTTCTAGCCGGGATTGTCATGGAAATGGATGGAAGATGGAGTGTATCTGTGTGACAACGGGGACGAAATGTATCGATGTACAGCAACAGGTTGCTGGTTCAAATTTAATTGTCAGTTATAATTGGGTTGTTGCCAGTTAAATTTAATACCAAAACAATATGGTCTTGGTTTTTTGTAATTTGTATGTTTTCAGTTTTGGCACCTCCAGTTACAAATTCGCGACATTAGATTTTTACAGATTGTTTCTGCACTGTACAGTGTTTCTGCACTACTGGCCGTTAGTTGTATCATTAAAAAGAGCACGATCATTTCGCCGTATAATTTGGATAATAATTCGTCGTTATGCGCAATGTCGCAGCTTGCGACACTGTGCATAACGACGAGTTATTGCAAATTATACGGCGAAATAATCGGGCTCTTTTTAATAACAACTAACGGCCAACAGGAAACTGTTTTTCACAAATGTTCCCCCGATCAGACTGATAAAGACGTCTTGTCGCCATCGGAAATTATTTTTGCTGCGTTCGAAACTGCTTCCAAAGCAGATTTCGCACTGCCGCCTTCCAAGAGTGCGAACTGCAAACTACAGGACACTTAACCAACCAAAAAACAAAAATCCCTAAGGGCAAACGCCACCAACAGCATTCGACGGATTAAACGAAATGAACCAGATGAGGAAATATATTCTGCGGATATTAGTATAATAATTATAATAGTAGGAATTTTGGCGTCCATGTTAATAAATCATAAATATTTAACCAGAGATACGAGCAGCATTTGGCGTGCTCTCGTGTTTTTCTTTTTCGAATTACCGAAGCAATATCCACGAAAGCTGGCGAACGGAGTGTTTTTTAAACACACTACGCTTTTGCCCAGTTTTATCTGACGTACACTGATGTAAAAACATGGTGTCTAACACGTACAAAATATGTATTTTACAAAATAATATGGTGACGGCTCCGCATACCACCTTTATTCCACCTTTGGCTCCTAATATCAGATTTTCCACACCACTTTTGTCGCTGCATACCACCATAAATTTTTCCTCTGCATACCACCTTTGGCTCCTAATACCACCTAATACCCTTCTAATACCACCCGGTTTAGGCCTGACACCAAGCGAATTAATGACGAATGTACTAAATGGCGGAGCGTTGTATTAAATGGCACACAAAAGACAAACCAACGGTTGAAGAACTCGCTCAGCTTAATAGGCAGATATCGGACTTATCGGCATCGGTAGCAACCGTGTTATCTTCGTTGCCTACGTTATAGCTAGCGAAAGAAAATTAATGTACAATTAAATGCGTATTTTTTGCACGCCACTTTTGTCTGCATAACACATAAATGTTTTTAAACTCCCAATAGAAGTAATACATGGAAATATGTTGCTGCTACTACGATCTTCTTCTACGCACTTTAACGGTGTGAATTATTTCTTCACGCCAATCTAGGATGCAGACGCACAAGAAACGTGCTGTGTTTGACCAAGCCGAACTGGAACTCTGGAAGTTGTACGGCCGTGATGAGCCGGAAGAGCAACTGCGGGTCCGATACGAGAACGTGCAAAAATAAAAAAGTTGGTGTAAACTGCGGATCGTTTGCTGTGGCATTCGTGTATGACCTTTTCCAGAGAAGAAGCCCGGCAGATTCATCGTATGCCGGCCAGTGTATTTGAAAACGGATTTTAGAATTCTTTGAAAAAAAGAACTGCTTTCACTGAAAAGACGCGCCCGACGACTGGCCGAGAGAACTGCGAATTCACGATTTGATCTCATATCCGCTATTGATGCGGCTTTATACGAAGGGTTGATATGGATGTAGCATGCGCAAGCGCATCATCAATTATCCCTGATGCTAAAATTTAATAAAGATGGATAGACGCTTATGAATATTTATTATTGCATGCATGGTGGTATGCAGAGTCAAAAGTGGCGTGCATTCGCTGCCGCTATGTTGCGGCTACCGGAATATCTATACGGGCCTTAACCTTGTACTGGCCTGGGACTGGACAAACCGGCCGAATCTAACGAGCGCCGATTCGCTCTGACACAGGTGAAGACGCGACTCACATCAGAGAGTGGGCAGAAAAGCCGTCCAATACCGCCAGAAAACTGTAGGGCCACCCAAATAAGATCCTGCGTGTATAGTTGGCGTATATCACAATCAAAGGGTGTACGTCCGGCACGAGCTGAACACCACCGAGACGCTCACCGCACATATTGGGGAGCGTTCTGACGATGCTCTTCGAACGGAGCAGGGGCGCAATTATTGACAGCGTCCACAAAACCGCCCGTACCGTACGCTGCGTGGGCCATACTGCGTGGCCATTGTGGGGCGGCGGAAAAGTGGCAAGGCGGACGGGAGATAGCTGCTGGTAGCCGTCCAAATGGAACCAATTAATATTTATTGTATTCATATTACACGTATCAGTTTGGTTCCGATGTGTCCGCACGAAGGCCATATGCCGCCTTGCAGAACACTCTCTGCACCAGGCGTTTCCGTTCAACGGATTTCGGCAGTTTTTATACTGCATACTGGGACTGCAAGGCAAATCAAGAATTACTTCTCGATTTGTCGAGTTTTTGGCGTATCTGGTTATCTGTCAGCAGTAACCACGTCCAGTTTAAGCAGCGTGTATACAACTACAGAGTACAGTATAATAAAATGTATCAACAAACGAACATGATTCAAAGGGCATCTTGCCCGGCCACCGTATATCCCACACAGTAAAACTGATTTATCCTATATTAAATCTCTAAAGGTAACCATTAGTGTACGTACTAGTTATCATAAGCTAAAGCAGGTGTTAGGTGAATTCCTTGTAAAATACTGTAACTATAACAATTTCAAAACGCCGTGGTTTCCAAATCACAAAAGTTAACAAAAAATAGCACGCGTCATTGATCCGAAATTCGAATCGCTGTATCCGGCCACGCGTTGCCAACTTATCATTGATGTTACTCTGATGGGAATCTAGAGATGCTTCTTATGGAGCGGCAGCGACTAGCGTACGGTTGCCTAGAGAAAAAGGTTACGAGTACGCTTAAGTGATGTAACATGCAGAAACGAACGTAAACGCCGATGTCGTGTACACGTGGTACTCTTTCACATTACAGCAGGATTAAAATCAGTACAGCGACAGTACTTTTTGTAATTTCTGAGCTTCTTAAATGTCCACTGACATTCTTCGTTGGAAGTTGCTGCAAGAGTCCAGAATTAGCCAACCTTCACTAAACTACATACTTACTAAACCGGAATACGTCAGGATGTGCGTACGTATATACGCGTTAGCGTTTAACAGCTTTAATTTTACAAAATTGATGTCTCGTTCAGTTTTTAGCTTAGATAATTTATCTTGACTGATTATTTGTTCGTTTATAATTTACTTCCTTCAAAGGGCATTGTAAATTGTTTGCTCTTGCCTCTTGGCCCTTGGGAGCCTGTTTATGTTATCCGGTTCCTCTGAGAATGCCTTGGCGGTTGTCCAGGATAATATCGTTGGACGAATTCTCCAGGTATCTTGTTTGTGGCATGGCTGTTATCGCTCTGGTTATGGTTCCTGGCACTTCCTGCTTCGTGGATTACCTATGTGCAGTATCGTTGTGTTCTGGCTAAACACCAGTAATCATGCAATGCTTGATTGCTTCTCCTGTTATTTCGTTGGCATGTTGTTCTTTACAATTTTTCTCATTTTTACATTTCGATTGGGAGAAATTTTAACCTTTTTAAGTCTGGGAGGCCAGCTTAATTTTGCGTGTAAAGCGCCTGCAGTATTAAGGATAATCAGCGAATTGGGCAGAAATGAGTAATGAGTAATCGTATAGAAGAAGTCCGTTTTATTACGTTAATGCGTCTGTAAAACATACTGTACAAAACTCGAAAAACTAACGAAGCCTTATCTCTTAAACGTATTGTGAATGTTGGGAAACTCAGTGCATTTTTTTGTCCCAGTTTCCATTACGTTGTTTATCCATAAATTACACTGCTGACTCGGTTTCACTGAGAAGGAGATGCATGGTACCGCGAAGAGAACGCCTCGCTACAAGAAGTGCAGAACAAGCTCAAGAAGCGCAGCGTCCATGTAGAAGACCTTCTATAGCGGATGCGGTCAGGACGACGAGAACGCACTAATGCCGTCCGCACAGCAGAAGCGCTTCACGTGCGTGGAGATGGCGCGGTCGGTGCAGGAGAAGAATAAGTACAAGAAGCAGCTCATGGAGCTCCGGGACGAGATGCTGCTGCAAACGCTGTCCCAGAAACCAGCACGTCGTCATGCAAAAACGCTGCGGCCGTTCCGGTGTCTTAAAACTGCAAGCGGCAGCCCCATGAGAAGCTTTGTAAGTTTGAAATCATCAGGGCCGATTGGAAATCGGTTAAAGGCACGAGAGTTCTGCAGACTGTATTGCCGGATTTTAATAAGAGACCATGTAGAAGCCCATGTATGTAGATACAAATAATAGTAGTGGATACAATTAATAGAAGACCATGTAGATATTTAACGCGAATGATACACTGGCGATACGTGTAGGTGGCGTTTGCGGAGTCACGGAGTATGCCGATGGCCGCGGCAGGCGGAGCTGGCGATGTCCTGGGCGGTGTGCTTCGGCCTAGCTACTTCCGGCCGCAGTCCGAGAAAGACCCCGATCTGAAGGTGCGCACTACAATTATCGTGAAAAACAAAAACTGCTTTGTAAATGGGAAATTTACCAAAAGAAAATAATAGGATGAAAGGTTATACATACAAGAGGTTACCTAAAAATTATTTGGATTTTATGTTGAAAAAGTAGATCAACGGTAGTGTGAAAATTAAAACTTACAGCAAAATGAATGTTAAGACAGTTGACGAAATGATTTATGTGTGGAATTATAGCTTCAGTTTTGCCAGAATATAGTACATGTTTTTTCCCGGTTAAAATATAAGTACAAAAATTGCCGTTAGTACCAATTTTACACTGTTTTATTCCGTACATTTATTGTCAGTTTTCCTTGTGCAGCAGACGGGCTGAATCTGACCGAAAATTTACACACCAGGCATGATAGCGTTTGTGAATGTGCTACTGGTAACTGTTATATGAATCATTAGATGGTTGGTCTTAAATGTTTCGAATTTCTGTTCAATTTTTAACTTTTTTTATTCGGTAGGTCTGACTGTGCCATTTTTCGTTATCAGAAGCAGCTGATGGGGCATCCAGGAAGAGATGCGTCGCCGCCCAGCGCGTCCTCATGCAGCAGCGCCGCTTCCGGTCCGGCTTCTTCAAAGTGAGAGCGACAGCGTAGTAAAAAACCGTTAAACGGAAATGATAATACGGATTGGCAATCGGTGTAATGGCACAGGAGTTGACTCTCCAAAACACACTAAGTGTTGTCGCTGGTTAGTGCACTGTCGTAGTGTAATGGCTCCGTAGCTTCAGGGATAACGACCCAGACATGGTCATATGCTTTATAAAATTAAGCAATATTTTGTTGTCAATTTGGAAACTTCGATAGATTTTTATTTTATCATTGCGTGGTGTACTCGCCGCACCACTGAACAATGAAAAAATTGTACAAATACCGTCGTATGCGACACTATGTGGACGCGATAGAATTCTGCTTTTTAGATGTAAAATAATTAAAATGAGTTGACACAGTCCAAGTAATTAAAGTTGTATAATTAAAATTTTGAACAGTTGTCAAACATTTCTGCTGTTAATTGCTGACGTGCGGTTGTTTAAACCGTTGTAGCTGTTTCCGCAAGACTTTTGTTGAAAACATACGATGTGTATAATACATATGCATACGATGTTCTTAATAATTATTCAGCATTAATGATAATTATACTCTTAATAACTGTTTAACAATTATTCTTAGTAATTATTCAGCGGCCGACAATCTCGCGGCTCCGTGTCGATGTGGTCAGTCGAATAGGAGACACCGAGTGGGCGTGTGCTGGTGTTTGGATGGAGCCGGTAGCCGCCGCATCTGGCAGTGATAATGTCCCGGGCAGCGTCGTCGTCCTGTATTCCCTCTTTTCCCGGCCGCTGGTGGAGAAAAATCCCAGTATGCAGGTGCCGTGCTAAAATTATCGTGAAGAATGGAACTATCTCGTTCTTATGAAATTAAATATTTGGGGTAATTGTAGACCTGATGATTCATAATTTTATTCAGGGTGCCGCCGTCGTTACCGACTGTGATTGTTGCTGTTACATTAGGTAGCTGATTGTTCATCAGGTAGCTGATTTTTCAGATGGTTTTATTCTGATTATAATACAATCTTGGGTATTGCAGAGCAGCTTCGAAGCGCATTCGACAGCGCCATATCCGGCAGATGGTGGTGGTGGGGCGTGACGTGGGGATCTCGCTGCGGCTGGACAAATCACTCTGCACCTCTTCCACGTCGGCACCATGCAGCACCTCCAGGATCTGACCGTCAAGCCGCTCTCCGCACTGGTCACCGGTACGAAATAATTTTCTTTACAGTTGTGTATGTGCTGACATTGGAGGACTGCTGATGCTTGAGCGTTAGCGCGGGAATATGGAAGTGTGTATTTTTCTGTGTTAGGTAAGCGTCCGTTGGGTATCTTGCTGCCTGAGTTGCTGGTGCGCAAATCACCATGTCGGCATCCTGTCGGCACCACCACCAGCGTCGTCATCTCTGCCCTCCTCCCCGCGGGCCCCTATATCTGCGCTGTCTGTGGTGTTGTGTGTTCCTCGGAAACCGCTACACCTTGAATTGCCATGATTCTAATCCCAGACCTTTGTTTACCGCTTTCAGTTCGGTGTTTTCACAATTCACGGTGTTCTTCTGTTGGCATTCCGTCTTTGCTTCTGTTTTTGATTGTTACTGTATCTGTATTTGATTTTACTACAGTAATTTTATATTTTTTAATGGGATTTCTTTAATTTGCGCTGTCATTTTTTCAGATTTACTTTCTATGGATTTGCGAATTTATAATTGGTGTATAATGGGACTTTAGTGTGTTTCCCTTGACATTTCAATAATTTTAATTAGGGGAATTCAAAACACAATAGTGAGAATACAGTCTGTAGATATTGGAAAATACCGGAAATATGGAGGTTGTGTGGTAGCGAATAAAAAGACAGGTCATCGCACAATCCTTGTGTTTCTGCTACGAAGTCATCGCAATTGTGCCTACCAAATAATTGCTTTGGCTGGAACATAGTCATACTGTACTGTAAGTACTTCCGTTAAACGTTTCATAAAATATAAAATTAATAAAGCATTCTGATTTACGTACTCGCCCTCACGATTGGTTCTAGTAATATGAAACTGTTTGCAGAAACTAGCATGCTTACAAATAATAATAACAATGCATATCGGTTTTAAATGATTGATATTTTACTTAACCTACGTAAATACGTACTAACGTAAATAGTGGAAAAACCGCAGTATCCACTCTATTGCTGACATAATTTCCGTGCAGGTAGCCAAGCAGCCCAAGCTTCTGGTAAACTAAAGGCTGTAAAGCATTTTTTGAAGTACGAATCGTAAATATGTACTCGGAGCCACTTCAGAATCCACTGTGCGATATAAAATTTATTGAGTATATTGCCACCCATTTTCAATAATTTTGTAGATCGCACAGCTTTATTGTACTGTATGTCCGCTCGAAAACTTACTGAAATGTGAGCGGCGTTCCGTTTTCAGTGCAGTCCTTTTGCGATCACTCAAGTGCTCGCAGAAAGGGCACTAAACACGGAAAACCAACTCTCGACATTGTATTGTATGCAGTACAAAATTAACACATCTTTGCCACTGCAATGACCTTGTTTGTCGGAATCATGTGGAAAGCGAAAGCTAGGTGCTGTTATTGTTATCTACATACTATTGTGCAATAAAAATAATACTTAATAAGTTTATTCACGAATTCTTAACGTTAAGAAGCTGATTTGGTAAAGTGGAGAAATCATCTTCGATAAATACACTTAAATTGAGTACGTTTTACTAAATTTCCCGTTACTGTCCCCGTTAAATTTCGATGTTGATCCTCTGCAGTCTGCACCAGATACTCTGTTTTCGGTATCTTACCTGTTTTTTAGTGACTCGTTTATTTCGTACAAGCGGCAATTATTGCCAATTTTCCGGACCAGAAACCACTCAGAGGTTTTCTGGAGCCTTTGGGCAACGATATATACACCGGTGTCGGATAGCTGCTAAGAACAGTCTGTCCATAAGACCATTATGCCTGCGTGTACATTTTCCATATTTAGAAAAAAAATAGTAAGGGCATGGGTGAAGAACAAATTCTACTAAAAGACACTGTACCATTCGACCCTGTGGCGTTTTATGCCAACTGTACTTCCGCAAGATGGTAAAAGGCATAAGTTTTCTTGACATAAGAACACTGACAAAGAGCACTGGTATTCTAAGCGGACGAAAGGTCAACAATGGTCATGGAATCCTATCAGAAATACAGTATCTGTCAAGCACGAATAATGCGGTTTTACATGCGGATCTTATGGCTGTTTTCAACGACTGCCCGCAGGAACAAGCAGGTGCGGAATGGGTGAATTTCGAGTAGGATGTACTCGACGGTTGCGCCACATGCCTGGGTACACTGACATAATACACAATGCCCATAATATACAAAAGGTTCTCAATTACAGGCTGGCTTGTAAGGGAACAACATGGCATAATCGACATGACAGACGCATTGTAGAAGCGGAAATCCTATCGAAGGAGGGTAAGAAGCCATTCAAGATGCGCTAGCATAATTATAATTGCAAGACCTGCGTGGCCGGGGTCAGCGGCCAAAAGGCATACGAGCTAAACGCCACAGAAGCGCTTACCGCTCATCCACGGGAACGTGTTGACAGTGCGGTCCGAACGGAGCAGTGGACGCGACTCTTTATAAGCCTCCACGAGGTATCGTACGCTTTCTGCGCGCCGCGGTGACAGACAACAAGGTCACTGGAGGGTATTCTGAATTAGCGCACGTGCCTGTGTCCATGAGCATGAGCAGCATGAGGGCGTCCTGCACTAAGCACTAGTTCATATGATATGGACACTGGTTGTTCACGGAGGAAACGGCGGACAGTTAGTAGCTCCATACCAAAAGGATGGAAGGCTTTGTAAGCAGAATCTAACACCAAGGAAACCGACAGTCCGACACGCCTGAGAAACTATGCCCGCTGTCTCCACCCACCGTATGGTTAGACGAATTAGCCGAAGATTAATTTTACTCTTCATACGAAACACAAGCGCGTATTATAGCGTATACTTAATAATCTGTTCGCGTATAAAAATGTCATATACAGGAGGGTAGGCACACGTCGAGGAAAACTTTTGGAATAGCACAGAATAGGTTAAGCAGTATGCTGTGCAATACACTCAAAAACCAAGCCTAGTGCCGCTATTCCCTGCTATACTCGTTTATTCTGTGAAGATAACCGTTATATGATTACGAGTTAAGACGTTGCCTGTCAGGCTGTCACAC